AAAAGATACAACGTTGATTCAGATGGCTTAAAACTCCTCTAGTGAGGAAAATCAATCTACATATCAAATCCGATTAGAACATGAAAAAAGTGATTCAATGCCCCAATGTAGCAGAAACTGGGTTCCTTGAACCCAACAAGCAAGGAACCTAGCAACTGGGTTCTACAAACCCAGCAATTAGGTTCCTCGCGGAACCCAGATTTGGGTTTCGCAAACCCAGCAACTAGGTTCCGCGTACCTAGAAACTGGGTTCCTCGCGGAACCCATATCTGGATCCTGCGAACCAAGCATCATGGAATCCAGATCTAGGTTTCATGAACCGAGCAACTGGGTTCTGCGAACCCAGCAAAAAGGTTCCATGAAGAACCCAAACTAGGTTCGCAAACCCGTAAGGAGCCTAGCAGCTGGTGAAGATGAGTATGATGCCAAGGATGAGGAGAAAGAAGGTCAGCGTAATCTGCAACTCTTCCCACATCACTTCAGGCCTAGAAATTTATCAAGGTTAACGAAGAAGAAGACAAAAACGATTAAGAAATTAAAATTAATCTTATTTAAATTCATTTAATTGATGAATTAAAAAGTAAAATTTTTAATTTGTACAGGTGGCATCCACATAATTTTCACCTCATTTATAATATTATTTGTATAAAAAATAATCAAATGATTCCGTTAGGTAACCTACCACATCAGCAAAAATTTAATGGAGGGACTAAAAAGGAGCTGAATTTCAAACAGTAAGGACCAAAAAAGGGATTTTTTCGGTATAGGGACTAAAAAAGAGTTTTTTGCTATAGTTGAGGGACCAAAAAAGGTATTTAACCAAAAATTTAAGCTTTTGCCAATTTTCCTCAAGAGAGGGCGGTCGGCAGCTTGGGGGGGCTTGTCGTGTTGCAGGGCAGGTCGGGAGGAAGAAAATAAGCAAAACACGTGACTGGGTGAGGAAGGAAAAAAGAAGAAAGAAAAAGGAAAAATTTTTTTTTTTGCCGACCTTATCCAAATTTTCTCTTTTAAGTCCCTAAACTTTGAAAATTTCTATTATTAAGGCCAACAATATTATTCTCTCACAATTAAGTCCATAACTCACAATTAAATGTCCTAGAAAATTTGGGGATATTACATTAATAAAAATTATGTCTCATGTTTTCTTATTAAGTTGCCATCAATTCCCTCAACCAGCAACTCATTTAGTAATCTTTGTTTGTTTTTCTAAGTGTTTTGTTTGGTATTTCATCAACATGTTTACTGGGCAATTGACGAGTGCAAGTTATCTTTGCTTCTTTTGTTCTATTAGAAAATTAGGAATAGCCATAGACAAATCTTTGTCTCAATTTGGTGTTTATGGAATATGGAAAGGTAACATTGCTTATAGTCTTCCATTAAACCATAAGTGTCCCTTACAAATTTAAGATTTGTTAATTTCATTGCATTATATTTATTTTAATAGATATTTATGCTCGATATTGTTTATTTTCTCTTCTTAAGTCCTCTCTGTTGTTGGGATTTTACAAGATGAAGTGAATCCAATGGTGTCAATTATGAAGGTTGAAAAGACTCCATAGTCTTATATTGATATAGGTGGTTTGGATGCTCAAATTCAAGATGAAAGAGGTAGTTTGCAGTTTAGCTACTTCTAACTCATCATGAATGTTATGAAGACATTGGTATTAAGCCTCCTAAGGGTGTCATATTGTATATATATTTTACATATATATGATGATTTAATTAATCATAAATGTATAATATTTTAGTTTATATCAATCAATCTATAATATTAATTAAAAATATTAGACATTAATGGCACATTACTATCAATTTACATAGGATTATGTTGGCCAATAATCTGGTTTTTTGCCTTTGCTGTTTAGGGCTACAATTGCAGGTGAGAGATCTAAGAATTCAAATGGTCCCAAATGCACAGTTTTGCATATAATTGATTGCCAAGAGGCATTCTATCGATTATAATCACTTAATCGACAGCCTTTACAAGTTGTCGGTTATACTAGAGTCGACCCAAAAAGTCCACCAAAATTTGGTTCGCATGCGGTCATGGAATTTAAAATAATATAACTGACAGAATTTCTGTCGAATATATTCCTTTATATACCCAGTTCCAAAATTGCCACATATCACTTCTTCTCAAAGCTTCTCCCACCTTTCCCTTCCTTTTTCAATTCCTTCTTAGACATGGCGCCCAGTTTTGTTTACTTTTTTTTCTTTCTACTTTTACTTTTCATTTTTCTTTTATCTTTCTTCTTCTCCCTTTCTAGCTCTTACCATGCATATGGTTTAAATTTTTTAAGTAATTTCATGGCTCTATAGTTAAATGGTTACTTTTCTTTCATTCTTGCAACTTTTTTCATTTTCTTTATTTGGTTGTAGTCCTTGTCCATCTTCTTTCATTCTTTTTTCGATTTTAAGTTTTGTTCTTTATTCTTTTTCATTAATCATTCAATTACTTTAATAAGATACATGAGCATGGACTAATAAATATTTATTTATTTATTTATTTGCAGATTATATATTAAGCTTACCAAAGAAATGTTTTCAGGTAAATTCTTATTTAATTTGTGATTAATATTTTAATATCCATTTCGTTAACATTAATAAAATTATAATGTATAATATATATATATATATATTTTGCAAATGTAGCTCCTTTCTTTAAGATAAATTGCTTGAAATTTAACTTTTTTGTTCATTAGTTTTTATATTATTAATTCAGTTAACTCTTAACTTTATTATTTAATTGTACATATGTTTGTGGAATATGGTTTTATCGATGAATATGTTTACAATTTCTAATGATTTTTCATTGAATTAAAATCATATACTAAATTTCAGAATTTTTTTTTTTAGGGTGAAAAATATAATTGACCGAAAGTAGCTGACGATAATATACATAGTCGACAGGCAATTGGCTATTGATTAATTTATTTAGTTTTTGGCCAAACATGGTTGACAGCCAATTGATTGACAATTATGCTTATAATTATGTGAATAATGTGAATAATTGACAGCCAGTTGGTTGCCGATTACCTTGTTTAAAGTTTTCTTAAACATAATCGATAGCTTAACGACCGTTGATTATGGATATCATCGACAAAAATTACTTTCGATTATAATTATTAATCAACAAAAACAATTTCAATCGATTATACCTATTTTCGACGCTCATTTTTTTGGCAAATTAATTTGTTAGTTGCGTCTATTGGTTATATTATAATCGACAGAATATTTGCTATAATTGACAGTATTGTTTATCAAATATATTGCTCTCTCTAGTAGTGGCTAATTACATAAAATTTAACACTATTAATATATATCAATAAATAAAATTTCTTTAATAAAAGGGTTATACATAATAGATCAATATGAAAATTGGTCTACATGGTTTACATAAATAAAACTTTCAATCCAACAATTGGTCTTTAAAATATTCGTTAGAAGATCAAATTTTATACAAGTCCTCCCAAAAAAAATTTTGAACAACAACTTGCATTGTACTAAACCCTATATCTACATACAAGTTAGGCTTATTCGACTTATCTCTTAAAAAATAAGAGAAAATTACTTTAAAATTATATTATTCTAATACAGCATCACTAGTAAAAATATAAAAAATAATCTAATTTATGCTACTAAAATAGGGTTGTAGTCACAAAAAACTACAAAATCAAATAACTTATCTTGATTTGTACAATAAATTCAAATTAGAATGAATTTGAAAGAAAACGAAAAATTACTCTAATTTCAGGTGCTGCAGTGCACATACTCCAACTTTGAAAAGTAATACATCTTAGAATAGCATGATTCACTGATTAACAGTCAAATTTAGAAGGGCAAAGGTCTAAACCTAATCTTGTCCTTCGAAGGATTTGAGATTTATATTTGAAACTTTTCCTCCTTGACAGGGATTTGGAGCTTGCCCTTGGCAAGAGGTTGAAATCTTTCAAAATTGAGACTTGGAACTTCGAGAATTGTCGAGAGGCTTGAAACTTGTTATTCCTTTCCTTTTTTTCCTTCTTCCTTCTTCCTTATTCCCTTCCTTTTTTCATCAAATGAATGGCCTATTTATAGCCAAAGGAAGTTTGCCAAATGATCTCAAATATCCTTTCACTTGAAGGATAATTTAGTCATTTCATAAACAAATTTATTTTAATTAAAAGGAAAATATCTTATTAAATATTTACTACCCCAACCTCCAAGATTTTATTGGGATAAATATATTTTAATTTTAACATATTTTTTAATGTCTACAAATACCCCCTTAGAATTAATCTACTTGCATTATTTTATACAAAAAGTAAATTAATTTTTATATACACTCTTCAACAGAGTAAGTGAAACTATGAAAAAACAATCACCTCTTTTCATAGCCCACTCTTTTTTTTTCTTTTTTTTTTTAGCACTTTTTTAATGGGCTAATCCATTTTGGGGCCTTTTTTTTAAAGCCCGCTTACAGACTTCTTTTTTTATTTTTAATCCAATTGCCGGACTTCTCTTTCTATTTTTTTTTTTTTTGAAAGCCTATTTCCAGCAGACTCAACTCCTCTATTATTCAAACTCCATCCCCTGCATCTGCATCAATAGAAAATCCATGTTTTATTATTATTTTTTTGTTGATTTCAACTACTTAATTTGAGTTTCAAATAGCTTTAACAAATTAAACTTAAAATTAAAATTCAGATTTGTTCTCATCTAAACTCTGCCCCTCCCCCACTCTACAAATTGACGCTTTTGGCGAGCAAAATCACAGCAACAATAGTGATGCGGAGCAGGTTAGGGGTAAGGTAGGCTTAAGGATTTAGAGGTTTATTTGAAGATAGTTTTGGCTATGAATAGGGTGTGTGAATAATAAAAAGAATGTTAGAAGTTTAGTTTAGACAACAAGGAAGAATAAAGAGCCATAGGAATCACACCTAGGCACCCTTAGGAATCACTCCTAAGGTAGATTGCTTCACGCAATCAAGATTTCTTTACACAATCAAGAGCAAACTTGCTGGAAAAATCTAATATTATTAACTGAATGTCTAAAGAAACTTACAAACATATATATATATAAGAACTATTAAAACTCCTAATAGAAGTCTACATTAGAAGTTCTAATCCAACTAGGACCTAACAAAAATTACATAGTTTAAAAAAAATAATAATAATAAACTACTAGTAAAAGACTTAATTAAGCTCCCAACTAAGCTTCTCATCATTGGCCATGTGCCAAACTAAAGCATGGGCTTTAGAACCAACTTTGGCTTGCCTTTTGTAAACCTTTGGGGGTTGCTTCCAACGTGCCCTGTCATCTCTCCCTTGCTTGAAGAAACTCGACCCTGTCGAGTTAGAAGCATGGAATTCATCATAGAGAGTTGAATTTAATTGTTGAAATTCCTCTTCTATAATCCATGTGCAATTAGAAAGTGAACATCCTTTCCACTTGACAAGAAACCTTTGATAACCACCTTCTCTAGTTGAAACTATGCCATGATCAAGAACATCTTCAATTTCTTCCTTTATGGGTGGGCTAAAAGGAAGATCTGCACTGGTTATGTTTGAGGTGTTGTCATCATGTCCATTGTAGGATGTCAAGTCTCCAATATTAAAGATGTTATTGATGCCCATATCATCAAGTAGATCAAGAACATAAGCATTTGAGATAATTTTTTTAATAATCTTATAAGGTTCAGCACACCGTGAGTGAAGCTTCTTATTTGATCTCCTACGATATCTCTTGGGTCTGATTCTTACCATAACCATGTCTCCTTCCATAAATTCAACATGTTTTCTTTTTATGTTAGCATGTGCTTTGTAGTTCTTATTACTAGTAGCAATCTTCTTTCAGATATCATCATGAATTTCATGAATGTGTTTACCAAAATTGTTTACTTCCACACTAATATGACTTCCCATTGGTAATGGAGTCAAATCAATTGATTTTCGAAGGAGTATTCTTGTTACAATTTCAAATGGGTTACGAGCTGTACTTTTGTTAACAGAACTATTATAAGCAAATTCAACCATTGGGAGAATTTGGTCCCAAGTTTTAACATGATCCCTAACACAACAACGAAGGAGATCACCCAAGCTTCTATTGACAACCTCAGTTTGTCCATCTATTTGTGGATGAAAAGAGGTTGAAAATTTCAGTTTTGTGCCAAACATTTTCCAAAAGGATCTCCAGAAATAACTCATAAACTTCACATCCCTATCTAAGACAATTGTCTTAGGTAACCCATGTAGGCAAACAACTTCTTTGACAAAAAGTTTAGCACTATGGACAGCATCATATGTCTCCAAACAAGGAAGAAAATGGGCCATTTTTTAGTAGTGATCAACAACCACAAAAATTGAGTCATTTCCCTTTAATGTTTTAGGTAACCCAAGAACAAAATCCGTACTTAGGTCTTTCCAAGGCTCATGTGGAATAGGTAGAGGAGTATATAAACCTATATTCTTTCTTTTTCCCTTGTATATTTGACAAATCCTAAATCAAGCTACAACTTTACTTACGTCCTTTAAACTTGGCCAGTAGAATCAATCTTCTATCATAAGAATTGTCTTATTTCTTCCAAAATGTCCTACTGCTCCTCCTGATTGTAGCTCTCGAATTACATCATCACGTAGGGATGTACTTGGAAGGCAAAGACGAGTTCCTTTAAATAGATAACCATTGTGTAAATTGAAATCTAGGTAATTAACATGCTGTCTAGCTTGGAGATCAACGTATATTATGCTAAAATCCTTGCAAGATGAATATTCTTCTTTGATTACTTCAAAACCAACTACTTGAATAGCCATAAAAGTACGAACTAAAGCTACTTGGCTTAGAGCATCTGCTACCTTGTTTTCTATACCAACCTTGTGTTTGAGAACAAATGAATATTCTTACAAAAAAGAAACCCATTTTGCATGTCAATGATTCAACTTCTTATGAGAGTTTATGTATTTTAGAGCCTCATGATCAGAGTATAAGACAAACTCCTTATGAATTAAATAATGACACTAATGTCGAAGTGCTTAAATCACAGCATAGAATTCCTTGTCATAAGTTGAGTATTTTTGTTTTGCTAAGTTTAATTTTTCACTACAATAAGCAATCGGATGTTCTTCTTGGCTAAGAACCCTATCGATCCTTACACGAGATGCATCACAAGCAACTTCAAATACCTTAGAAAAATCTAGAAGAAGTAAAACAAGAGCTTTGATCATCTTTTTCTTGATTTCTTCCAAGGCTTTAGATGCTGCTTCTGTCTAAACAAACTTTCCTTTCTGCATGCAATTAGTAATAGGTGCCATTAGAGTGCTAAAATTTCTTATAGTATCGATAGAATGATGCTAATCCATGGAAACTTCTACTTTCATGTAGAGAAGTAGGAGTTGGCCATTCTTTAATTGCCTTGATTTTATCTAGATCAACTTCAATTCCTTTTGATGATATTACAAAACCCAGAAAAACAACACTTGAACTCATAAAAGAACACTTCTTTAAATTGATGTAAAGCTTTTCTTGTCGAAGAACTTTCATGACTTGTTGTGGGTGGTAAATATGTTCCTCCTTAGTCTTATTAAAAATTAGGATGTCATCAAAATAGACAACCAGAAATCGACCATTATAGGGCTGAAGTACCTGGTTCATAAATCTCATAAAAGTGCTTGGTGCATTGTTGAGTCCAAATGGCATGACAAACCAATCATTAAGCCCATCTTTGGTTTTAAAAGCAGTCTTCCATTCATCTCCAGGTCTGATTCATAATTAGTGTTAGCCACTTTTCAAATCAATTTTTGAAAATATAGTAGAGCCAGCCATAGCATATAACATATCTTCTGGACGAGGAATAGGAAACCTATACTTAACAATAATTTTGTTTATGGCACAACTATCAACACACATACACCATGTACCATCTTTCTTTGGGGTAAGAAGTGTTGGAACAACACAAGGACTTAGACTTTCTCGAATAAAACCTTTGGACAATAGCTCATCCACTTGCCTTTTGAGTACAGCATGCCCATTGGGAGTCATTCTATATGCTAGCAAGTTTGGCAATTGAGATCCTGGTAAAAGATTAGTTGCATGTTGAATATCTTGCAAGGGAGGTAACTCATTAGGTAACTCTTTTGGTGTGACATCAGAAAATTTTGTCAACAACTTAGCTACCTCATTGGTTAATTGACTAGCAAATTTTGAGTTCACTTCTTCCACTCTTCTTGTAATAATAGCAAATACCAACCCAAATTTACAACTTTCCACTTGAAATTGTCTCTTAGTTAGTATGTGAAGAGATCTGCTTCTGTTTGCAAAAACTTAGGTTTTGGTAATCTCTTTTCTTCATTCTTCTTAATATCACTAGAAATTTGTTTAGTTTGTGATGGCCCCTTTTCTTCATATTTTTTCATATCAAAAGAGCTTATAGGTCGCAATACAATTGCTTTGCTCCCAACAGAAAATGTATAGATGTTTTCCCTCCCATTATGACTCACATTCTTATCATAGAGCCAAGGTCGTCCAAGAAGAATGTGTGTGACTTTCGTAGGGATAACATCACACAATATAGCATCATTATAAGCACCATAATTGAAAGAAACAAGGCATTGTTGAGTTATCGGAATCGTTGTGTTATTAATCCAAGCTACCTTATATGGTTGAGGGTGAGGTTTTGCAGGGAGTTGAAGACATTCCACTGTTGATGCTAATACAACATTCATGCAACTTCCATTATTGATAATGATCTTTTTTGCTTGACCACCACAACAAACCAAAGTTTGGAATATTAAGGTTCGTCGTCAATTCCTTAACTTTAGGTGTTGCTAAAATACACCTAACAACTAATAAAAGGGAAATGTCTTCCTTTTCATCATGTACAAGATCATCAACCATGTAAACTCCATAATCAAAGGGATTTTCTTTAGTTTCCTCATCATGATGTTCTTCCTCATCTTGTACTTCTTCCATACAAAAATTACTTTTTCTTGGACATTGATAGCTCATATGACCATCTTCACCCCACTTAAAACAAGTTGAACCCTTACTACCCTTGTTATCTGTAGTACTAACTTTTCCTTTTCCAGCATTAGTATTTTGTTTGTTAAAGGGAGCTGCAGCACGTCTTGCATCATAATTCTTTCTTCTTGTTGCTTCCTTGGTTTGGAACCCAATTTTCTTACTATCTTGATTGTTTATATATTCTTCTGCACTGAGTGCTGCTTGGACTACATCTTCAACACTATAAATAGGTTGTCTCAAGAGTTCATTTTTAATTTCAGCTCTTAAACTAGCTCTAAATTGAGATGCAGATTATGCAGCATCCTCAATGACTTGACTGTGAATTTTTAGTTCATCAAAACTTTGCATATATTCTGCGACTATTAGGTTTCCTTGCCTTAAGGTATAAACCTTATCACACATCTTTTCTAGATAGTTTTGTGGCATATACTTGTCTTGTAATTTTACTTTCATCTCAAGCCAATTAGTTATTGGTGGTTGTCCCAGCTGAGTTAAATCACTCTCACCACCTTGCCACCATATTTTGGCTAACCCAACAAATTTCATTTTAGCAAATCTAACTCTTCGAGGATTTGCCATGTCATACTAGTTGAAACATTCTTCCATTGAATTAATCCAATTAGAAAACACAATGGGATCAACCATCCCTTAAAAATCTGGAACTTCAATCTTTATTTTCATATTAATGTCACATGTTGTATGTTGTGCCCCTTTTTGGCCTCTCCCATTCCTAGGTGCTGCAGTTATTTGGAGGATTTCTCCTTGGACATTATCCAATTTCTTTGTCATCATCTCCTCTATCTTGGAATCACATTCTGTTTCAAGTGTATCCATCCGTTGTTGTAATTTATTAATCAAGACATGGATTTCCTCCACATCAGAATTCAGCCTTGTAACTTGTGAATTTAATTCAACGTTTGACACCATAATTGAGGAAAAAAACTCAACAATAAAGTTGTAGGATCCTTTGCTCTAATACCAACTAATGTGGAACATGTTAAGGGTAAGGTAGGCTTAAGGATTTAGAGGCTTATTTGAAGATAGTTTTGGCTATGAATAGGGTGCATGAACAGTAAAAAGAAGGTTAGGAGTCTACTTTAGACAATAAGGAAGAATAAAGAACCCTAGCAATCACACCTAGGCACCCTTAGGAATCACTCCTAAGGTAGATTGCTTCACATAATCAAGAGCAAGCTTGTTGGAAAAATCTTAATATTATTAACTGAATGTCTAAAGAAACTTACAAACACACATATATATATAAGAACTATTAAAACTCCTAATTAGAAGTTCTAATCCAACTACGACTTGACAAAAATCACATAGTTTTAGAAATAATAGTAATAATAAACTACTAGTAAAAGACTTAATTAAACTCCCAACTAAGCTTCTCATCATTGGCCATGTGCCAAACTAAAGCATGGGCTTTAGAACCAACTTTGGCTCGTCTTTTGTAAACCTTTAGGGGTTGCTGCCAGCGTGCCCCATCAAGTAGCTTCGATCGTAGTAGCAGCAGCACTCATTTACAGGAGTTGCTTTAGGCTTTTGCCCCTTCCATAATGCAGTAGTAGCAATGACATTCACCAATTTGGGTAGTAGGTTCAGCCTTGATTTTTTTAGAGTAATTTGATGCTTGGAGCAACACCCATCACCCACCAAAGTGGTAGCCATCGCTCGTTGGAGCAGTAGCCATTGTTCGTAGTTTAATAGTTGACAGTAGCTTCAATTAGGTAACCACCTATGCCCTTCACTTACTTATCCTTAAAAAATTGTCGTAGTACTTCTTTGTTGCCATCATGGAATGTCTTTCACATGATCCAAACAACCATGTTATTATTTTTTTTTGTGCGCATAATGCTATGTCTTTTACAATGCATCATGAATATGACACATGATGTGCTACTGCAATTTTCAAACTATATGAGTATGATATTGTGAAAAGCATAAATAATCTATCATATAAATATTTTTCTTTGACCATGATTGCACTTCTTGTTTTAATATTCAACTATCTAACTTTACTACGTTATTGCCCTTTCACTAGTCAACGCTTGTTCTATTATGAAAATGGTAATAATCACCATATACATTTGCCCTGCATATTTTTTCACTCATTTTCAATACTGGGCTTTAAACAGAAACTCATCATGTGGTCCTTGTGCTCGCTTTCTTTAATTGCCCACTGTCTCTTTTATTAATCACCAAAAGAAAGTGTCAACACTTTCTCAACTGTGACTTTGTGAATTATAGATTTGTGAAGACACTATGGTGCTTGAGTCAACTAATGGTTCATACGCCATTGAAGGACTAGGGATGGCAATAGGTCCCCAGGGGGGGGACCCCTTCCCCATCCCCATCCTCGTTAATGACAGGTACGAGGATCCCTACATGGATTTTTGGTGGAGGATAAAAAATAACCTCTGTCCCCATACCTATGGGGAATAGTAGGTTCCCCTAGGTATTCGGAGTCCTCACCAAATAAAACTTGATATTAGTTTCTTGTTTGAGAAATTAACTGAAGATGGAACGAATTAAAAGTTTGAATGAGCCTCACAATAACAATATGATTATCGTTCGCTACGAATATAAGAAAGAAGCTGCATAGGCATGTAAACAATAAAAATTGCATTTTGACAATCTTGCAAACAATTGGAAGGAAAATGAAATCGAAAATAATAAGGCCAAAAGAATGAGATCTACTGCACCTCAAAATAAATCATCAAGCACAAATACTCAGATATTCACAAATACTCATAACTCAGGCTTAGGCAAGCTTTAAGTAGCTGACTGAAGAATAGAAATAGAGCTATGGCACTATCTTTCGAAGGTTGTCGAGAATGATAGGTTGAACGGAATTGACCGATTGAAGAATAGAAACAAAGCCAGTGAGCTACAACACAGAGGAGAAGAGACTAAAGTATGGAGAGGAGAAATCGCAGAGCAAGTTCGCAAATCTTAGAAATTTGATATAGTCATTCTAGTTCTAGGGTTACTAGCAAATTAGGTTGGGCTTGGGCAATTAAGTTTAAAAAGATAATGCAAATTGGGTTCGGCTTGGGCAATTGAGTTTAAGAAGATTATGGGCTGGACTAGACTATATAATTGGGTTTGGAAAAATTGAAAAAAAAAAAAGGATTGGTCAATTAATTAGGTTGAGTAAGCAAAAATTAATTGTTAATATATTTAAAAATATATATTTAAATAAATTTATTTATTTATTTATTTTATATGGACCTCCACGGTTCCCCACGAG